CAGCAGGCGTCGAATATATTCTAATCGCTCCCTCAAAGCCTTTTTTCCGAAAAAGTTATTGTATGTAAGAACATAGGAAGGAAATGCCTTACATACAAGTAATGGACTGACCTGCTGCCGTTCGACTGTCTACCCGACTCTAACGTTAGAACCTTTCCGACCCGTCAATCCAGACAAACGAGACATTATAGGGAAACTGTCGAACCTAGAGACATAGTTTCTAGGAAGAGACAAAATAGAAGAAACTGTCGTACCTTAAGACGATAAAAATATAGGAAACTGTCGTACCTAGGCCAGAATTTACCAAGAAACAAAGCATGTTTTCGAGAAACTGTGAGAGAAATTTTGAAATGTATATTTTCCCTACATTGCTATTTTGCCCATTTGCGTTTACTCAAGTGAACCATTTTGTAATGTGAGCTGTTCCGTGACTTCAGAAACTAATTTGATCTGTTTCCGTGAGATGTTAGTGCGTTTTTAAAATATGAGAGCTTAGAAAGATTGAGTAAATGAACTGAAAAAGTTTTGCATTTCAATTTCGTCAATAACTATTATTACTTTAGGAAAAATAGTTAAGATATTCATACACTACTAGCATGAAAAGTAGCAATTCAATGTGTATTAAGTCTTTCCTGCAGATAATATTAACAGATTAGTAATTTGTTGCATATTTTGGAAACTGCGTGACCTAGGACAGAGACGTTGAGTACACCCCCCTGCTACATAAATTGTAGTGTAAATAAATTCATTTGGTTTCAGCATAGTAAATTGTCCATGACACGAAGCAAGAAACAACAAAAGACCTAAACACCAGCGGAAACACTTAATAGAGCAGTTGTGACTGTTTAAAGATGTGTATCAATTCGTTTTCAGCAATAGTTAGTTATAAACTGCTACAGAGTGCACGACTTATCTCGAACAATTGTGTCTAATTTCCTTGCGGTGGGTAGTTTCACTGTCGTGCCGCTTAATTCCTTCTTGCACTTGCCATTATCGCCGCCCATTTTTCTCAAATGCATAGCGTTCAAAATATTACTTTTAAAATATTAGAAGAACATTAAAACATCCTTCTTATACGCCAATTTTCGTTGAAACATTGAGGGACGTTTTAGAAAAAATCGTTTAAGGCTCTAGTGTAAATGCCGAAATTAGTATTATCACAGAAATATTTTGTTTTCGAAACTTTTCATTGTAGTCATACAACACTTTCAGTTCTACTGCAGTGACTCCGGACACGTTGCAACGCATGCAGTACGTGGAGATGATTGTGTACGAGACGATTAGAATGCACCCACCCGTTTTCTTGTACATTAAAAAAGCAGGCGTTGACACACCTCTTGTCTCCTGTGAGTATATAAAATGCGCTAAGATTTTATGCGAATCTTGCTTCAGGACAGTTTTTTGAACTGTTGAAGAAAATATTCTGTAACATACTCCTCCGCCTGATTCGGCCACTCATTTCCAGCAACTCCGCTCCCTCCACGAATCAGCTCACGCTTCTAAGCCTCAATCGTCCTTCGTTTCTCGTTCAGTGAGCGTCGTCCCAACAATTTCATCCGGGTTAATTAAAAACAATACCCCTACTAATATCAAACGAATGTGGGAACAGTTCCGCTAAGAAAGAAGGAAAGAACCGCGCGCGATCTTACTTTCCCCATACACACAACATTATCCGCCTGGAGAGCAGTCGGCAGCTTAGTGCTTGACACGGATGTTCTGATGGAGAAAATATCTCAAGAGGGGACAACTTCAGTAGTCGACATGTAGCTATAAATAAACAATAGATCTCATGTTCGAGTGGAAGAGGAACACCTACACCTATCGGGAAAGAACATGCACTACACTTACCGGACTAATGGCATTATTTTACGCTTGTTTATTGACTACTACTAAATAAACCATCATGGGTCTCGAGAATTCGTAGATTACCGCTCCTTTCATAAAAAAGGCTAGGAAGACGTCAGAATTCGCGACATTGAATTATTTTTCTTAACGTTTTGGAATATCTGTTGTGCATTATTTAAATTTACATTATTTATTACATATTCATTGCTTACGTTACTGTACATTCGCTTTTTATCATACTTTTTCAAAGACATTGTTCATGAAAATGGACTTTCTACTGTATCGTATTGCTTATCAACCTAAGTGTCAATGTTTCCTTTCTTTGCAGCCGATCTCGTTATTCCTGCAGGAGCTAATGTGATTATATCTCCACGAAATATGAATATGAATCCGGAATTGTTCCCTGATCCACACGTGTTTGACCCAGAAAGATTTTCTCCTGAGAACTCTGCCAAACGACACCCATTCGCTTTCATTCCGTTTTCTGTAGGAAAACGCGCTTGCCCTGGTATATACAAATTATTTAAATAAGGTCATGTGAAATTTGTTGAAAATATTAACAGTTTTGTTTATTGTTTCTTAAAGTACAGATAATTTGATAATTTTTAGTGAGGAACTGCCCAAGTTTTACTTACTCGCCCTTAAGAAAGAACTTCCTAAGAAGTGAAATTTATGTAATACTCCGCGAAAATACGTCTAATGTTCGGCAGAAAAAAGTATGAATGATTCTAGTGAAAAAATATGAAAAATGGATGAATCGAGTTGTTAAATTTAAAAAAAAAAGCATTTGATTGAAATTTTAAAAATGTTTCTCAAAAACCGCTCTAAGTTTTTTATTTGAATTTTCTTCGCTTATGTAATCAGAGACAAGAAAAATATGGCACCACTCATATTTTCGCGTATTGCTTTTTTTAATTAAAAAAACTTTTAAAACTACAAAATTGAAAATATATTTCAGACAGTCTGTTGTACAAACTTAGCTCTTTAAAAAACTTCATGTACAATTGTTTAAAGAAATGAGTAGTTTTGCGTTATTTCTCGTTGAAATTAATGAAATGTATTCAGACTTCCCACCAATTTCGGGCCATGAAATAAATAAATCAATGATAGGAAAAATAATTAGTTTAATTTTAAATTTCAATTTCCTATTGAAAATGACAATATAAATTCTATTTTAACTTTCTTGTACTTTTACTTTTTTTTATTCCACAATTTGTATTCTCAATGTATTGATGTACGAGTACATAAAGTTGACGGTCTGCAGACGGTATTATGGGATTCATCATTCCATCATACCGGAGGCAAATTATTCTTAAACAGCTGTGTTGTTTAGGTCATCATTCTTAAAATTATATTATTGTCCAGTGTAAGATATCATACAACTGTGGAGTGCAAGCAACAACGCCTAGAAACCGAATCTCTATGTGGTGTTGGCACAAAGCAATGACAGGAGAGGATGTGTTTATCAAAAATAGATTTTCAAATAAGATCATGTTCAATTTTTTGAAAAAAAGGGTATTTTTGGGCGAATTTGGAGACGGACATAATGGCTGGTCAGAATTTACTGCGCTTCCTTCTTGTAATTCCCGCCACTTGGATGCTTCGATTGTTAGAATTTGTGTATTTCATATACCTTTGTTTGTTTCTTACATTCGACCTTTTGTTATACTTTTACCCATTAACTTTTTATAAATTATTTAAAACCTATTTCAAATACTTGTATCTTTCAAGACATATCAAATTGGGATGCTACAATGATTCAGAAGATTTGTCTTATTATTGGGACACGATTTACCTGTATGAAAATCAGTTATAATTGCCAAATTTGTATTGATATTATCTTGTAAAAATTTAGTTTTTGCACCAAATGTTGTACGACCTGTAATGAGTAGAGTTGGACAAGTATTTAAACACTTGTATATGAAATACTTATTTTTAAGAATTCACATATTCATCCACGCCACTTGACTGACTGTTTTCCTTTGCACTTTGTTTGAAAAAAAAATCATAATTTTTGCCCCTCGAGGGAGCGCGCCGTTGCGAGGATTGCACAGTTTTGCTTCACAGGTATTTTAACGGAAAATTTTGGAGCTGACTGTGGGAAGAATTCCAACATCAGAGTCTAGGTCTGTCAACATAACAAAAGCGGTTTCCTGGCGCCTTTTGTCGCAGCTTCAGCATATTCACTGCCATTTAGCCATACTGTTATACTAAATTGACCCTTTCCAAAATATTGATTTAATATAGGGGAAAAACGTTAAAATACTTCTAACGTCGACTTTGTAAAATACCTTTAATGTTTTCTTCCGATCATGTTCACTACGAGCTATTGAACAAGTTTTCATGCGTTTCTAAATAAATTGAAAACTTTTCGTTTATTTTCTTTTTGCAGGAAAAAAAAATTGCAATGATGACTTTGAAGACGGTTATCAGTAAAGTTATTTGGAATTTCCGGATTCTCCCAGATGAAACGTATGAACCACAATTACTTTGGGGACTCACTATGGGTGCGGCTAATGGAATGAGGATAAAACTTCTGAAGAGATAAACGTGTGGAAGATAATAAAGAGCGCAAATTGAGAGGCGCCTTCCAATGCTACCCAGATGCTATAGAACAGGGGAATCGGATGGAATGGAGCTGATCTTCAGAATAAATTGAAATACAATTAAAGGAAAACTGTATCTAGTAAAGAAGTAATACTGCATTTATTTATACATATACAGTCAAACATTCTCATAATGGAAGAGTACGAGACCGATGAAAATTTCCGTTCAAGACAGATTTTTGTTATTACGACGTTTTCAAAATTTACTCTACCAAATAAAATGCACTTTGTCACAAAATAATTATTTGTTTAAATATATCATTTTTGTAACGCACAGATCACTATATATGTCGACATGCGACTCTGAACAGAACCGCGATTCCTGGATGTTCTGCTGTATTATAACGATATTAAAAATGTGATGTGAATTTCTACAAATTATCTGCCTTTTTACCTTGTTTGATAATAAACAATTGACATTTATTCTGCAGAATTAGATTGTTTTTTGTTTTTGATCTCATTAATGATTTATCTTTAATTTGTATAGTAACAAATTCTGTACGGTATTTCTTGTATAAATGTTCGTAAGTTTACGGAAATATCTTCCACGACGGTCTTCAAGATGTCTTCCGTTCAGATACCGTCCTCGCGATGCTCCAGGTGTCATAAATTCTGGCCGCAGGAGAATTACTGTATTGTTCCCCGAAAATCCTATCATTTTGATAATAATATTCTACAATGCGATCTATTTAATTAATGCAGTTCACGAACCGGACATTACCTTCCTGCGCCTCGGATGAAGCGCAAACTCGCGACTGTCTCTCATTTTACTTTACCTAAAATAATATGTATGCTCAGTTACAAATTAATTTGTAATTCTACATAAAATTCTCACTTACTACATAAATCTCAGTATTCTACATAAATTTCTCACGTACGAAGTATTTTTTTCATGAATCTCCACAATAACAAATTACAACACAAGCTAAGGATGATACCATCAAATAACAAATTATATACTTCTCATAAACATATCACACAATTATCATAAGTATCCCGTTTCCTAGCATCAAAATATTACCTAGCCTAAATCTGCAAAATTATTACCGTCCACTACTTCCCGTGCTGCCAAAAGAGAGACTAACCAATTCTAAATAATCGCGGAACCTCGATTTTCCACAGTGTCTTGTCATGAATTCAATATAATGTTCGGGGGCCATGGTTCGCAAAAGAATCACGCATTTTTACACGTTACCAGCGGGTGTCTAGCAGGGAGTCCAGCGGGTGTCCAGCAGGGAGAAATCTCGTGACTGTGTGTGGCAAGCAGAAATGGCTTTGGGATTCTGGCACCGTAGTAAATCGTCCACTTTTATGGGCTTTCACCCACAGAACAATAAAGCATAGAAGTGCACCCTCAATGTTAAACGTCGGAAACAAAAGTCGCTCACAGCACTCCAAGTGGCCTGTGGCTTGGCAACGAACTACACAAACCGCCCGCCCAGCGCAGTGTATGAAAGTTAATTTCACTGGTCTTCGCGAAAGTTAATGGATATTAATAGGTTACATTCTACTGGAATTTTTCTAGGATATAGTAATTATCTATTTTCGTAATGCACTTGGATAAGGTTATAACTGAGGAGAGTCATCTAATTATATGGTAATGGCAGAAATCAAGGAATCAAAATGAATAAACAAAGAAATATATAAATAAATAAATCATTGCCTTTATTATACAACTTATATTAAACAATATTCAATACAGACTACAACATTTTAAATTTTTTCACCTTTGTATATTTTCTCTTAGTTTTTTCTGTTTTTCATCAATTACATATTTGTATATTCAAAAACGTACACACTTTGTAAAAATAAGTTCTTCTGATAAATGCATTAAAAAAAACAAGTGTCATCAGGTAATTTGGAATTAGAGCTAATCCGTCTCTCCAAATTATTTAAATGGCCATTTGTTTTCTAGAAATGTATACAAATATTAATGAACATTCTTTAAAAACATTACATTAAATAACAAAATCATAATAAATCATTACATTTCATAACAAAAATACATGTTTTCCTTATAGTCTTATGTGGATACAGTAGGCTACAAATTTCATACCAATAAACGTGAATGACACTAAATTTAATGCTCACCTCTATATAGCGAAACATCATTGTATCCCACTAAGACCAGCTAATCGAAATAGAGAAAACTCAACACTGTTGCGATTGTGTCCGCTAAAACAAATATTCTTGAAGCGAAGCACACACATGCGAAGCACACACATAAACGCACAGATCACTAAAGGAACTCATTACATACCCCAAGACAATTTGATTCACCCTTCCACCGTGAGGAAAACGCATGCAGGTTGGATGTGACGTACAAAAAAAAAGCGACAAACACTAACAAATCATTGCGATATATTATTTCAACTGGCACTCCAAGTAACCTGGCAGTGTGTTGACAATTTCCGTATCTCACCTTCACCCCTGTGCTTTCACCCCTATACCTACCCAGGAAGCTTTGCGTAGCTAATGGCTGCAAGGGACAGTCAGGTCGCTTCGTGTGAATAATGACGTGTGTCGACTAGCGCACAGGAATTATATATATATATATAAATTCACTATGGGCCTTAAATCTCTTTTGGTGAAAATGCCGTAAAGTTTCTTACAACTTGGTGATTTTTCCACAGAGATCATTCGACAAGCATGCCAAGAACAATTCTTAGTAAAATGTAGTCGACGTGACATCTTTCCTCGTCATCTAGACTATTTGAAATTTAATTTTTACTTTTACATTAAAACTGCCAAACGAAAAGTGCAACACTTAATTATCTCTATAAAAAAGAAACTCCCTAAATTAGACACTGAGGTCGATCATACTAATATTAGTTGTTTTAAACAGATATAAATAGGCCAGGAGTTCAAAATGTTTTTCAAACTACCAGTAAGTTTAGTTTTGAAATTTTTTTAAAAACAAAGGAAAGAAAAATAAAAAGTGAAAAAATGAGCTCAAAAGGAAACATGACAATATTTTTTTTATTTACAAATTAAATGCTAACAATGCCAAAAGTAGTAATATTAAATATTCCATTCCGTTTTGAAGAATGTGAATGACTATAAATGGCTTATGAATCTTCCTATAGTCCCCATTCCAAGAGAAATTAAAAAAAGTCGTAGTCTTAGTGCTGGTTTAGCTGCTTCCTATCTATACCTTCCGATACTTGAATTCATTAAAAATATTGAAGGTAACTACCAAAGATTGATGAAAGAGACCGTAATATATTTAGAATTGAATTTTCTAATTTTTGACTACAAATAACTTCAATCACCGAACATTAGTCATGTTTTGAACGTGCTTTTACTGAACATAACAACACAATCAATGAATTCATTTAACACAATCCAGACCGGGTAATAGAAGATAGGTAAGCAGCTGAAGGTAAAGTATTCGTGGATAGTTGGCTGTCTGGGGTGAGCCGCGTCTCTGCCGATCGAGCTTACGTTTCGTCCATCGAGTTGTGGGCTTCTTAGAAGTTCTACGACTTTCCCCGGCAGCTAAGTATGCAATGACTTCGGTCGCGGACGCCTACAAATACGTAAAGTATTAGTGATTATGACATAGGAAGAATACTGTAATAAGATGGAACACCTTATGAATTATAAAATCACTTATATGGAATTAAACCTGACCTATCTAATAAAATTAAGGACATCAAGTCGCTAGTGAATATGTTAGGTAGTTGAACTATCCTACTAATTGGAGATTAATCTGTTATAATGACAATATACCTAGATGTTATGTGTTACGTAAAATTCATTGAGAGGGTGATCCTCTGAGACTTGTCTCACAGATAAGAAGGTGAATATATAATTTGGTTAATTATTTGTTGAAAATTCTAAGTAGCTTTGACTAACTAAGGAACTTATCAATAACTGAAGATGATATTTTATTATCTTTAGATAACAAGGCTCTTTTTACTAATATCCCAAAGGATTCATGTGAAAAGGCGTTAAGAATTGACGATAAATTGTCAAAAATGAGAGAAAAATTTGCTATGATCACTTTTTAATCTTTCTTGGACTCGATGTTACGTTTTCATAGTGAAAAATAAATGTTTTAAACAAACTTTGGCAATTCTTAGGATAGTCCCTTATCATCCATGCGGGCTGATAAAGTTATGAAGTATTTTGAGCTGGCCAGTTTAATTTAACCTTTTTTTACTCCTAAAATCTATATAATATAAGTAAATGATACTTTTTTGAATGTAAACAAAAATAAAATTTTTCAGGTTCTTCAAATCTTTAACAGTTATCACAGTAGATTGCAATTAACTCATGTAATAGGACTGGGCAACAATCAGAATATTGTAGATATTGAAGTCTTGAGAATTGATAACTACTTTACCAAAAACTTGTACAGAAAATCTACCTCTTCGGAAAGGTACTTTAACTACTATTCCAACCACCACCATGTCCATAAAACAAGTGTAATTACACGTTTAGTCAATAGAGCTATTTTGCTGTCTAACAAAAGTTTCCTTGATGTTAATATTAAGTTAATCAAAGTTATTTTAACTAATAATGATTAAACGTGGCCTCATCAACACAATTATAACTAAACGATTTTTAAAATTAATAAATCAATCAACATGTAGAGGACGTCAGTGGAGCAGTACATCTTAGAAGATAAGAAAACATATTGTCATCGTCTTTGTCAAAGACCTTTCTTTCCATACCAGATCTTCCTTACGAAACTATGGGTTCGAGGTAAGTTTTGATAGTTACAATAAACGTAACCATATTATTAAAACACGTAAAGGTAAACTTAGTAAAGAGCACAGGCCTATTATGGTTTACAAATTTCATTGCAATACACAAGGCTGTAGTACGGCCTATGTGGGCCAAACTGTGAGAAAAATGGGGATGATAATGTGATCACAAGACGCATTCAATGCTCTGGCCTCATAATGTATTTAAAGAACGCAGTTATCTTCGATCACTAACCAACCTGGCAAAAAGGCTGGATAATGAACCAAACTGACTAATATTAGAGATGCTTATTTTTAAAAAACATACATCGTTTCTATAAAAAAATGATTTTTCTTATTTGAACACCATTTATGACAAAATAATCAATGTACTATAAAATTCTCTTCCCCGACTTTACATGTTTAGTGTCTAACGACTTATTAAATCAACTGTTTGGTATTTCACTTTCTTTTTCTCATACCCTTCAAGTTAATTATTCATTTTTATATACTTACATATTAAACGGTTCCTTTTACTATTCAATATACTTCAAATTTCCTGCCCCCTCTTCAACAATTTTTGAAGTGTGAGTGAGTAGAGGGAGATCTCATTTCTCCGCTGACTTTGACTCACTACGGTCGTCATCGAGTTAGCAAATTGACGTTGATACAAGTAACGTACACATAGTTTTGTTCAGCTATTTTAAATTAATAGATTCAAAAAGATAACCATCCGTCATGAATAATTCAAGCGGTTTTCTTAACGTTCCACAATAGGCTATGATACTTGTTTACACACAATACGCAACCTGGAGATTAATTTCTGATTTTCAACATGTCTACGTGACCTCACACTACTATACGTAACCCACTTCCTCCACTCGTAACAATCGGCCGCCTGGCAGTCCGACCCCGTGCTCCAGTGCGGCCAGCCCCGCTCTGTGAATGGCGAGGCGGGCGCCTCCGCGCAGGCCGCGACCACGGAAGCTGAAACGGCGGTCGCCTCACGACCGCCCAGACGACCCTACCGTTTCCGACTGCAAATACACGCAGATGCGGTCAAAAAACACGCCAAAGCGATAGTAGATGCCACTGGTAAGTTGGCCACAATCGGTCGTGTTACTACTAAAAATGGCCGAGATGGCTACCAGGTGTCAACCTCCTCCTCAATCGCTTATCGTGAAGCCGAAACGCACGCAAAGCTTCACAAAATTTACCAATTTGGTCACCCCC